AAGAGTGTCACTTTTGGAACATTTGGGTGAATTGGATGTTCTACATCATTATCCACAGACAAAAACACACACAACACCCAAAACATGGATTAAAGCTCAGCAAGTCCTCATATGACAGGAACTAAATTCTAAGTTAACTTTGAAGACAACAACCTTTTATGAGACCTGACTTCAACCTCAAGTTTAATCAAAATAACTCCTGCAGACTGAGTGCTAGTTAACTTGTCCCCAATACTGGACTACACCAGACAGTGAACAGCAGACATTTTCTCAAAAGCATACTCATTAATATACACTAGTTAAGGTCCACAAATAAGTGTCATTTCCTGGAATTCCATACTTTACAGGTAACTTACATACAGCATTGGTGCATAATCCCAGCACACAACTTCATGTCTATTTCAAAGCCTCCAATCAACCAAACCACTTACACCCCTTTTGGATCAAGGGGTTTGGAAGTTTGTTAGGTTTTTAAACAAAGCCTTGGGTTTGTTTTCCTCCCCCCTCCACCCCATAAGACTTTCCTTTATTTAATCAGGTCACAAAGTCAGTGGACCAAATCACTGATCTGGCCCATTAGGTGTTTTTATTTCACCCTGGGGAGCACAGGCTGTTTCATGGGCTGGATAACAATGAAATACCAGCAAACATCCTGTGAAGAAATTAGCAGGTATGAAGATTCGTATGTGTCAAGTTGGATGTAAGACTACATAAACACAACTACATTTTATTTAATGAATGAATTACACTAATATCTCCCCAGAAAAAGAGGCTCCCTGCACGTACAGACTGTTTCAGTCACACAAGAAGAGGGATTCCAGTTCACAGCACTTATACCACCAAATTACTGATTTACTTTCTTTACCTCTTCAGAAATATATTTTACTGCCCTTAATAGTTTATTTGAACATTGTAAGCAATTTCTGACAAGCTCATATGCCCATGGAGGCCATCCACAAGAAAAATCCACCATTCGTCGAATTCTCTAGATCAAAGAGCAAGTTCTGCTCTCAACAGTAAAGATCAGAATTGTTAGTGGCCACTGTACAATCTATCTGCAGCCTTTCTCAGGGAGGCACATTAACTGTCATAGCAGCCTACTAATAGCAAGAAAAGGATACTTACTTCCCAGCTACATGAGCGTTTTCAATGTAAGCGAGCGCTGCTTCCAGTCCTTTCAACTGAGCCACTGCATTGGAGTCTGTCACAAATTTTTTTATCAGCCCAAGATACTTGGACCATTCGGGACTCTTCTCATCATCGATCTTCTGGAAGAGCTTAAGGGCTTCTTCATAACCATTTAACCTGGCTTTCCACAGCTGGAAACAAAAATGAGACGTTTACATGTTGTGCTTATACAACCATAACTCACCAGTGTTGCAAAATTATTCAATCATAGTTGAAAGTGTGCTCAGTAAGCTGGCATCTGAAAGATTTATCTTCAAGGACGATATGAATAGCATGCAATAGGACAAAACAAAATACTCGCTCTTCTCCTGTCAAGGATTATCTTGGCTAGAGGGAATCATCTTCCCCACTGCTCTTCATAAGCTCTAACAATCACTGACAAGTAGGTGGGAGCCCAACAATAGTTTCAGCTACAGACAAGGAATTTCGCCACGTGAATGAGTGCACTGATCTTTCAGCACACAAGCTTACGCTATGCAGATTATCATGCTACTAAATTCTACTTAATAAATGTTATTCTGCCTCTAGGTTGGCTAGGGCTGATGCAGTTTCAGACCTGTTATACACACACTGTGCGGCTGTCGAGATTACCCAACTACAGTGTACTTAGAGGAGCACCGCAGAATGACCGCAGCAGAGACACAGCAAAACAAACCTAAAGATGAGATTTCCTACCTTGTGTTCACATTTCTGGTCAATGGGCAGTTTCATCCACTCGCTGTCGTCCCCCATTGTTATTCAGGTTCTCTCTATAATTACAGTAATTCCTGTGGAGATAGAGACAAGTTAGAACATGGAAAAAATACATATGAGGTGCTACCCACAACATACTTCTATTTAAAAAACCAAAACCCCACCACAGTTCTGTAGCACATCTATTGCTAATGTGCGACACACCCTTCCAAGCTTGTAGTTACATTTGGCTATGCACTCCTAAGCCTAGACCACTATTCTGTTAGCTCTGGAAGGGTACCAGAAGCCATTAAAGATTAGAGAGCAGCGCAATTTGTAATCTCTCAGACACTATAAATCTCAATCTGTGAAAGTTGTAGTAACCCGAGAAGGCAGGCAGAATATAACCTCATGTAAGCTTGAGGAAGAACACACTCTGATTAAGGTGCTAAAACAAAATGAGCCCCTATCAACACTAGAAAACTGACTCTTACCAACATGTGCTTTCAGCAACAGGTGCCATGAATCAGCATTGAAAAATAATCAGGTGCTAGTGTAAGGACAGCCATTTTAACAACTTTACAAACAGCACATTCGAAATGAACAGTACTGCAAGAGGAACAGGCCCCATTTTTGCAAGCTGTCTGCTTTATGCCCTAATTCTAATGTAACCAGTGTCAGCAACTGTCAACAAGAGATCAATTTCTTACAACATGTAGGGCGCACATCCTTACTCATTGAAGTTCCTAAGTGTTTTCCTCCTTCCTTCCCCCCCCTTCCTTTCTATTAAGAACAGAATACTGACTGTTAGGGTATGAGAGGTGAGACCTCAGGCTCAATGCCCATCTCAGACATACTGTACAACTAACCTGATTGCTCAGAGAATATGCCTGATGAAGGGAGCAAATGCCAAAATCAAAATACCAAAATCAAAATAGCAGTAGCAGCAATATTTTTTGATTTATAACTTTATTATTTATACAAACAAAATCAAACCAGAGAAGGAGTAACACATTCCAGCATACCAGTTCACATGCATAGACAAAGATGACCAAAACTCTAAGAAGTGGACAGCATATAAAACAATTTATCACTACAGGGATGGAACTACACCATACAAGCAGAATATTCGTAACGCGTATTCAGCCTATGCCAGCAAAACTGCACACTTTAACCTACAAAGTAGTTCACGTAATGCGCCGAGCTTCTCTGCAGAAAATTAACCCCTAGAATCACAAGTGCACCATCCCTTGTAAGTTAACATAAGCAAGTTCTCCAAAGCCTTCTGTCAGTCACACAACACTAACATACAGCTAACTCGACTGCAAAATTAGGCTAGCAACCGTCTACTATAAAAACAACCTTTTTTTCTTCCTTCCTGGATTAATTAGAAGATACTTAAAGAGCAACGCAAATCCCCAATAATTTAAAACAAAAAAAACACCAAATCCCACCTGCTACCACCACACACCCACACCCCTAAACTTACCTTAAGTATTTATAAATCCCTAAGGATGCCAGTACTGTTCTCCCTAGAATTGCACAAACCTACTCATTATATTGCCATTGGGCAAATCAAAGTCAGTGTCAGGACAGACATTGACAACACACAGAAAGAAATGTGTTCAAGCATTATTATGGTTCGTCCTTCTCGTTTCGCTAACAGCAATGTGGACACTTTTTCTTGACATCAGCACAGTTGCACAGCAGTACTGAGAAGTTTGCTTGCTCAGCAAAAATAAGCAAAAAAAAAATCATGAGAGCCAGAGACGAGGACTTAATTAACCCCTCGAACTACAAACCATTGTGAATGAAGGGATCACTCTGCTTATTAAGTGAGAAACAAAGTACATACAAATGAGGCTTCCTAAAGCCCATTCCACTGAAAAGGTTCATTGCGATACACTATCTTTCTAAATGTACAACTTATTAAAAAAAAGTTTGGGTTTAATACTGATCACACCATTCCTCCATGTCAGGAATTGACAAGAAAAAGGTACTCCAACTCAACAGTTCCAATGAAAATAACAAGCTTTGCAATGCCATACCAACACCAACCAATCATAAGAGGTCAACAGGGCAACTGAGGCACTACACCCTTTTGCATGGAAGCCCCACCAGCCTTTTGCAACAGATTCCACTTTCCTCTGTTCAAACTCTTCTGCAACTCTGGTTTCTTTTTCTCTGTCCAAGCCACTCATTTTTCTTATCCCTTCCCTCAGCCTACTGAGAGTTCAAAATTAAATAAAAATCATCAGCCTCCTGATTAAATTTCAATGCATTTTACCTAGTTAATAAAACAACTGCAAATACATCCCCCAAACAAACAAACAAAAAGCAAGCCACCCTCCACACAAAAGCAAGACCGTCCTGGTAAACATGGAGGCAGGGGCAAAACTATATCTAGCTCTACAACTGTGATGATTTCTCTCCAAAAGCAAAAATGAGACTGCATTCACATTCAAAACTTTCCAAATACCTCACCTAGCAAAGGACACAAGACTGCCCTAGTGCAGGTACAGCAGCAGACTTCCTTCTGCCACAAGTTATTTCTGCAGCCAAGCACCATCAGCTTCACCAGGATAAGGTGTGTTTGCATTAGGAATGCATTCACCTTAATGTACCAGTATAAAAATAAGAGGGTACTTCCCCAGTGTGGATGCAGGTGACATAAATAGAACAGTGTTCTTTTTCCCAAACTCACATATGCCTTTGCCAAGAATGAGCAGAGTGAACTTAAAAGGAAATTAGAGAGTTCTGAGCCTTGCTCAGAAACTTGGAGGTAATTCAAGCTATTACCTGTCTATATATCATTTTGCTGAGGAAAGTATAAGGAACAAGTACAGGAACAGCAGTTATTCACAAAGAAAGCAGAAAAAGGAATAAAGCACTAACAGACCTGCCAACAGCAGAAACACCAGAATAAAGAGTTCTGGCACCTGTACTAAGACAAACCCCCAACTACAACCCATTCTTTTAGAAAACTCAACAGCATGAACCTCCTACTTCAGGAGTAAAAAGAAGCATTTATTTCTCTCTAGAAATCTGTTCTGCCAAGGAAAATCTTATTGTAGGACAGCAACTACCTTACTAGAATCCTAAAATCAGGTCAAACCCTAAAGTCAGGAGCAACTCTATTAAAAAGGCTTGTCCATCGCAAGGCTGATGCCTATTTACAAGTATTTTTACCCTTACATCTATCCAACAGTTCATTGCTACAAAGTGTGACATCTTGCTTGTACACCCTATATTATAAAATTTCAAAACTGGAAGAAAAGGATCTAGGATTCCCCTTCCCAACATCACAATGTACTTAACTGGGCAGGGAACACACTTGATGGGACAGACACAGGGAGGGGAGATGGATGACCAGGAAACAGTATTTTCTCAGCCATTTTTTTCAGTCTGGTCAAGTCAGGTCCCCTACTATTTTTAGTCGCTAACATCTACAACAGTTACTGCAATTATAAAATGGGTTAAGTTGCCTTCTGTGCTGAATCTAGCATCTAAAAATAGTGATAAAATTATACTCCACCCCCCCAATAACTTACAAATCCCTTTAGAACAGGCAGTTAATCAGAAAGTATTCCATGATCACAGTGGGAGAGAGCTCCTTCTGAAACATCCCTTCTTTCCAGCGTCACCACTGCTCACGCCTGTCCTAATGCCAAGATTTTGTACTGTCTGCATCTTGCATCTACCAGAACAAACGACTGTTGTTTCTCCTTTCAGTTAAGTCACTGGGTTCTGTATGTTCACAGAATATCCCACATTTGACAAAAAGCTTTTTTTTCTTTTTTAGGAAAAAAGTTTCTTTGCAAAGACATGTAAAACCTCCAGCCATTACTTATCATCCAAATAACAAGTAGCCTCATTATACAACAACACAGATAAATTATGTTATTACCAGTAAATTTGCAGCAATGAAGTGTTTGACCTACATAGCTTTCTCATTGCCACAACTCAGAAAAAAACAGATTGAAGTCTTTCAGTAACAACATTCATTTTGGTAGAATGCAGAAAACAAGACCTCTGAAGTGACAGAACCACCCAAAGTAGTTTTATGAGAGAGGTTTGTTACTAACATGGTCAACACAACATTTACAAAAGCAAGTCAGCTGAGCAATCTGCAACGGAGATGAACAACAAATCCTCCCTGACAGTTCTTGGCAGGACAAGCTCTTGTATCATGGAGCAGCGAGAAAATGAAGACTATCAAGGAAAGAAAAGGATGGCTTTCAAAGGAAAGCATGCAAGAGCAGAAGACATTTACAAGGCAGCACAAACGCAAGAATTTCAAAATTAAAAGTGAGAAATCCTCACTGTATATAAATAATTTAGGAAACAAATTTATCAACACATTAAGAGTTTATGGGAAAGTATCAATACAAAAAAATTTACACTAACCACACACTGCTCTGAACAGTTCCTACTCAGCTTCTAAATAAATGCTTCCACTGCTACAGTTTCTGAGAGCTGAACAGCATCAGCCTTACAGCTTCATAGTATGGGGCAGTGCTAAAGAAAATCCCACCTTCACAAATATCCTGAAATGGGTTTTATTGGGAAGCATACATTTATCATCTATCACTGCAATTCATTGTGAAGTTTCAGCTTCCAGACCATTTTCTACACAAAATGTGCAATGGCAAACTAGGAAGCCATTTTATGCTAAACAAAACTGGATGATCACAGATACAAACTGTCCACTCTCCCCTACTCACTTCCACCTATTGCACATCACTGTTGTGTAAGAATGACAGCAAGCATTCTGACATTTTGAAAGACTCTCAAAAAACTTTACTCAAAAGAGTAAGTTCTGAGAAAGCAAAACAGGCCATTTTAAAGGAAAAAAATCTGTTTAAACATTCCTATGCAGCAGGGCACATACTTGAACGTAGAGCTGTATGTCACATCTCAGATGAAACAACACTTCTCAGCAGACAGTTCTCTGTCAGTGCAGCCCACAGTTTTCCTAGCAGAAAGAATTTTTGTTTAATGGCAGTTTTGGGTCATATTTGCTCTTTGGCTCTGAAAAGAGGAAGTTTCTTTTTCTTAGAAGTTTAGCCCAGCACGTTTCTGGTATTTGCCAGATAAA